TGAGGAGACCTGAAAGTGGCACATGGCAGAGTGTGGCGATGGAGACAGCAGCAATGGGAGGCCGTACAGGGACCCATGAGAGACTCTGGACCTGGCAGCAGCATGAGGAGGCGGTACGGGGGCCCATGGCAGATTACGGGCCTGGCAGCAGCAATGGGAGGCCCGTAATCTGCCAGCACCCTATGACAAAATGGACACACCAGCAGTGTGAGGAGACCTGAAAGTGGCACATGGCAGAGTGTGGCGATGGAGACAGCAGCAATGGGAGGCCGTACAGGGACCCATGAGACACTGTGGACCTGGCAGCAGCATGAGGAGGCGGTACAGGGGCCCATGGCAGATTACGGGCCTGGCAGCAGCAATGGGAGGCCCGTAATCTGCCAGCACCCTATGACAAAATGGAACACACCAGCAGTGTGAGGAGACCTGAAAGTGGCACATGGCAGAGTGTGGCGATGGAGACAGCAGCAATGGGAGGCCGTACAGGGACCCATGAGACACTCTGGACCTGGCAGCAGCATGAGGAGGCGGTACAGGGGCCCATGGCAGATTACGGGCCTGGCAGCAGCAATGGGAGGCCCGTAATCTGCCAGCACCCTATGACAAAATGGAACACACCAGCAGTGTGAGGAGACCTGAAAGTGGCACATGGCAGAGTGTGGCGATGGAGACAGCAGCAATGGGAGGCCGTACAGGGACCCATGAGACACTGTGGACCTGGCAGCAGCATGAGGAGGCGGTACAGGGGCCCATGGCAGATTACAGGCCTGGCAGCAGCAGCAATGGGAGGCCCGTAATCTGCCAGCACCCTATGACAAAATGGAACACACCAGCAGTGTGAGGAGACCTGAAAGTGGCACATGGCAGAGTGTGGCGATGGAGACAGCAGCAATGGGAGGCCGTACAGGGACCCATGAGACACTCTGGACCTGGCAGCAGCATGAGGAGGCGGTACAGGGGCCCATGGCAGATTACAGGCCTGGCAGCAGCAATGGGAGGCCCGTAATCTGCCAGCACCCTATGACAAAATGGAACACACCAGCAGTGTGAGGAGACCTGAAAGTGGCACATGGCAGAGTGTGGCGATGGAGACAGCAGCAATGGGAGGCCGTACAGGGACCCATGAGACACTCTGGACCTGGCAGCAGCATGAGGAGGCGGTACGGGGGCCCATGGCAGATTACGGGCCTGGCAGCAGCAATGGGAGGCCCGTAATCTGCCAGCACCCTATGACAAAATGGAACACACCAGCAGTGTGAGGAGACCTGAAAGTGGCACATGGCAGAGTGTGGCGATGGAGACAGCAGCAATGGGAGGCCGTACAGGGACCCATGACAGATTACTGGACCTGGCAGCAGCATGAGGAGGCGGTACAGGGGCCCATGGCAGATTACGGGCCTGGCAGCAGCAATGGGAGGCCCGTAATCTGCCAGCACCCTATGACAAAATGGAACACACCAGCAGTGTGAGGAGACCTGAAAGTGGCACATGGCAGAGTGTGGCGATGGAGACAGCAGCAATGGGAGGCCGTACAGGGACCCATGAGACACTCTGTGGACCTGGCAGCAGCATGAGGAGGCGGTACAGGGGCCCATGGCAGATTACAGGCCTGGCAGCAGCAATGGGAGGCCCGTAATCTGCCAGCACCCTATGACAAAATGAAACACACCAGCAGTGTGAGGAGACCTGAAAGTGGCACATGTTTGGGGCATGATTCATGGCGGATTTAGTCAGTTGTGTCAGGAACTGGTGGTTTGAAATCCAGACTAATCCACGCCTGATTCATTTTCACAAACGTGAGTCTCTCCACACTTTGGGTGGACAGTCGTGTCCTCCGCGGAGTTACAATACCTCCTGCCGCACTAAAACACGCGCTCCGATGCCACGCTACTGGCCGGGCATGACAGCCTTTCAAGGGCAAATTCAGCTAGTTGGGGCCAAAGGTCAAGTTTCGTTGCCCAGTAGTCAGGGGATTGTCTACCTCGGTTGGCAGGGTGCTGTCCAAGTAGGCCCAAGCCTGTTGTTTGAGGTCCTGCTCCAGGTCCACCTGATGCTGCTGCTGCTGCGGCTGCGGCTGGTTAGTAGTTTCCTCACTGCGCTGGTGAAGAAAGCTACTCATCATCGACTGCAGACTGTGGCAGCCGCTGCTGGTGGAGCTGCCACTGCTGCCCTACCACCCCACCCCCCCCCCCTGCTGCCATGGCAGCGGAACGCGAGCGCACAGGGCCCACAGTGTCTGAGGATGGATGGACGTTGGCGCAGAAAGGCAGAGACCAACTGACTACATAGGTGGTTTTTATAGTACGTTATTTTGGCCTCCCTCTCAGCAGGTGTGAAAAAGGCCACCATTTTTGAACGGTAGCGAGGGTCCAACAAGGTGGACAGCCAAAAGTCATCCCTCTGTCTGATGGTTATTATTCGGCTGTCGCTACGCAAGCAAACCGAGCATGCTATGGGCCATTGTGTGCCAAGGAATGCGAGGGACTCCCTGCCTCCATCTCCACTCCACAGCATACTGCCACGGTGCGTCTGGGTCCTCTGTCTCCTCCTCCTCCTCTACCAGATGCTCCTGCTCCTCCACTCCTGTCCGCTGAGTGGAAAAACCACCCATTTCACTCAATAATTCCTGAGCACCAATGTCCTCCTCTACCTCCTCCTCTTCTTCCTGTCCTGCCCCCACAGGGGTCATGTGGCGTTGAGATCTGTGCGCCACGTCTACCGCACCCTGACCAGCCATTGTTAACAGCATTTGTTCCAGGACGTGCAACAGAGGAATGACGTCGTTCATCCCATAGTCCTGCCGACTCACGAATAGCGTGGCCTCCTCAAAGGGCCTGAGCAAGCGGCAGGTGTCACGCATGAGCTGCCAATGGCTGACATCGAAGTTACACAGGGGAGTACCTTTATCCGCTTGTAACATCGGAAATCGGTGATGGCCTTTCGCTGTTCGTAAAAGGCGGTCTAACATGTGTAGGGTTGAATTCCACCTTGTTGCAACGTCGCAGATCAGGCGATGCTGTGGAATTCTGTTCTGCCGGCTGCAGCTCAAGGAGGGTGTGCTTTGCGGTGTAGGAATGGCTGAAATGCATGCAAAGTTTACGTGACATTTTAAGGATGTCTTGCAGTGGGATGGTGGATTTTAGGAACCGCTTGACAACCAGATTGAACACGTGAGCCATGCATGGCGCATGGCACAACCTTCCTTGACGCAGAGCAGACACCATGTTCTTTCCGTTGTCGGTCAACATGGTTCCGATTTTCAGTTTGCGCGGAGACAGCCATCTGTCGATTTCTCTGTTCATTACACTCAGAAGTTCCTCCCCTGTGTGACTACGTTCGCCAAGGCATACCAGGTGCAGCACAGCGTGACACCGTTGCGCCCTGCACATGTGATATGCCGGGTCGGGTAATGGGACTTGGCACGGGGGTGGCGGCTGAGGACACGGCGGAGCATGAAGAAGAGGTGGTAGAGGCGGACATCTTTTGCTGGACCAAGGACGTGCAAACGTGGAGGCAAAAGCGGCGTGACCTGTCCAAGTTGCTGGTGCGGCTGTGCCGGCACCACCACGTTCACCCAGTGGGCCGTAAATGACATGTACTGTCCCTGACCGTAGTTACAGCTCCACACGTCGGCGCTGCCGTGCACTTTGGCAGAGACCGACATGCTCAAAGACTGGCCCACCATCTCTTCTACATGTGAATGCAGGGCTGGCACTGCCTTTTTGGCGAAGAAATGCCGGCTTGGCACTCTCCACCGCGGCGCGGCACAAGCCATCATTTCTCGGAAAGGTGCTGAGTCCACCACTTGGAAAGGGAGGGACTGCAGCACCAGCAACTTGGACAGGAGGACGTTCAGCTTCTGCACCGTCGGGTGCGTGCTCGCAAACTGTTGTCTCTTGGAAACGGATTCCAAGAAAGACTGCTGACGGAATCCGTGAAGAGGAGTAGCAGGAGAAGGAGCATCTGAACGAGCGGAAGATGCCCAACGAGCGACAACTCCCCTCAGCAGAGGTGTTGGAGCCTTGACTGGCTGATAGAGGGCGATTGACGTCGGGTGACGGAGCAAGTAACGGAGCGGGTGATGGAGCGGGGGCTGGGGCAGGCAGAACCGCCGTATCTTTATCACGGTTTTCCCAGGCCACCAAATGGCGACGCTGCATATGCTGCCGCAACGCTGTAGTCCCAACATGGGCCCCCTGGCCACGCTTGACTTTCTGGCCACATAGTCGACATACGGCTACGTTTACTTCCTCGGGCGGCTTGACTGAAAAAAATTGCCACACCGCCGAGTAGGAAACTTTGCCCCCGCTACTCCTCACTGGCTGACTGCTACTTCCTCCGTGCACACCGGCACCACTACTGGCCGTGGTGGAGGCTGCAGTGGAGCTGGTGCTCTACTCCGTGGCCGTTTGCCTCCACTGACACTGCTGCGACCCTGCTGCCTCCTGGGCAACCCACCGACTGTTTTGCTCGCTGCAAAGCTGGCCACCCTCTTCTCCTGATGATGCGGAAGCAATAGCCTGATGACGACGAGGCTGCCAAGTGCGATCAGCCTCATCATCATCAATTAGGGTCTCCGCCTCACTACTAGCCCCCTCGGCTGCGTGTGGGTCAGGAGACAGACCTGTCTCTAGACCGGCTACCGAGCCACTCTCCTCGCCAGTACTTCTTCGCCTGGCTGCTGAAGAGGCGGATGTCTCCCCCCGTTCCTGACCGCCCTCTGTTAGCTCTTCCTCACTGTACAGTGGGGCTGAGCCCACAGCATGCGATACTTCGCTTGGTGAGGGAACACCAAAGGACAGGGGCAGGTAGAGGACACGTGATTTCAGTGGGCTTGCTCCCGGGCCATGCCAACTAACGGTTGTGTCTGACGTACCCACCGACCGTTGGCTGTAGGTGTCAGAGGTGACCTGGGAAGAGGAAGACGACCGAGCCAACCAATCGATGACGGCAGGGTTGTCGGTGGAGACACGACCGCTGGATGACACCGGGAGCACTGGCCTCTGGCTGCGACTAGTGCTGCCTCGACCCCTTCCTCTGCTGCCACGTCTGCTCGCTCCTAAAACATTGCCTCCTCTGCCACTCCTCTGCATGTTGTCTGACATACTCTTTAATTCAACGATTCTGTGTCCCTGAGTAACAATTCTGTGTCCCTGAGTAACAATTCTGTGTCCCTCAGTAACAATTCTGTGTCCCTGAGTAACAATTCTGTGTCCCTGAGTAACAATTCTGTGTCCCTGAGTAACAATTCTGTGTCCCTGAGTAACAATTCTGTGTCCCTGAGTAACAATTCTGTGTCCCTGAGTAACAATTCTGTGTCCCTCAGTAACAATTCTGTGTGTCCCTCAGTAACAATTCTGTGTCTGTCCCTGAGTAACAATTCTGTGTCCCTCAGTAACAATTCTGTGTCCCTCAGTAACAATTCTGTCTGTCCCTGAGTAACAATTCTGTGTCCCTCAGTAACAATTCTGTGTCCCTGAGTAACAATTCTGTGTCCCTCAGTAACAATTCTGTGTCTGTCCCTGAGTAACAATTTCTGTGTCCCTGAGTAACAATTCTGTGTCCCTCAGAGTAGTAACAATTCTGTGTCTGTGTCCCTGAGTAACAATTTCCTGTCCCTGAGTAACAATTCTGTGTCCCTCAGTAACAATTCTGTGTCCCTCAGTAACAATTCTGTGTCCCTCAGTAACAATTCTGTGTCTGTCCCTCAGTAGTAACAATTCTGTGTCCCTCAGTAACAATTCTGTGTCTGTCCAATTCTGTGTCCCTCAGTAACAATTCTGTGTCCCTGAGTAACAATTCTGTGTCCCTCAGTAACAATTCTGTGTCCCCTCAGTAACAATTCTCTGTGTCCCTCAGTAACAATTCTGTGTCCCTGAGTAACAATTCTGTGTCCCTGAGTAACAATTCTGTGTCCCTGAGTAACAATTCTGTGTCCCTCAGTAACAATTCTGTGTCCCTGAGTAACAATTCTGTGTCCCTCAGTAACAATTCTGTGTCCCTCAGTAACAATTCTGTGTCCCTGAGTAACAATTCTGTGTCCCTGAGTAACAATTCTGTGTCCCTGAGTAACAATTCTGTGTCCCTGAGTAACAATTCTGTGTCCCTCAGTAACAATTCTGTGTCCCTGAGTAACAATTCTGTGTCCCTCAGTAACAATTCTGTGTCCCTCAGTAACAATTCTGTGTGTCCCTGAGTAACAATTCTGTGTCCCTGAGTAACAATTCTGTGTCCCTGAGTAACAATTCTGTGTCCCAAGTAACAATTCTGTGTCCCTGAGTAACAATTCTGTGTCCCTCAGTAACAATTCTGTGTCCCTAACAAGTAACAATTCTGTGTCCCTGAGTAACAATTCTGTGTCCCTGAGTAACAATTCTGTGTCCCTCAGTAACAATTCTGTGTCCCTGAGTAACAATTCTGTGTCCCTGAGTAACAATTCTGTGTCCCTGAGTAACAATTCTGTGTCCCTGAGTAACAATTCTGTGTCCCTGAGTAACAATTCTGTGTCCCTCAGTAACAATTCTGTGTCTGTCCCTGAGTAACAATTCTGTGTCCCTCAGTAACAATTCTGTGTCCCTGAGTAACAATTCTGTGTCCCTGAGTAACAATTCTGTGTCCCTCAGTAACAATTCTGTGTCCCTCAGTAACAATTCTGTGTCCCTCAGTAACAATTCTGTGTGTCCCTGAGTAACAATTCTGTGTCCCTGAGTAACAATTCTGTGTCCCTCAGTAACAATTCTGTGTCCCTGAGTAACAATTCTGTGTCCCTGAGTAACAATTCTGTGTCCCTCAGTAACAATTCTGTGTCCCTCAGTAACAATTCTGTGTCCCTGAGTAACAATTCTGTAACAATTCTGTGTCCCTCAGTAACAATTCTGTGTCCCTCAGTAACAATTCTGTGTCCCTGAGTAACAATTCTGTGTGTCCCCTGAGTAACAATTCTGTGTCCCTCAGTAACAATTCTGTGTCCCTCAGTAACAATTCTGTGTCCCTCAGTAACAATTCTGTGTCCCTGAGTAACAATTCTGTGTCCCTCAGTAACAATTCTGTGTCCCTCAGTAACAATTCTGTGTGTCCCTGAGTAACAATTCTGTGTCCCTGAGTAACAATTCTGTGTCCCTGAGTAACAATTCTGTGTCCCTCAGTAACAATTCTGTGTCCCTGAGTAACAATTCTGTGTCCCTCAGTAACAATTCTGTGTCCCTCAGTAACAATTCTGTGTCCCTGAGTAACAATTCTGTGTCCCCTGAGTAACAATTCTGTGTCCCAGTAACAATTCTGTGTCCCTGAGTAACAATTCTGTGTCTGTCCCTGAGTAACAATTCTGTGTCCCTCAGTAACAATTCTGTGTCCCTGAGTAACAATTCTGTGTCTGTCCCTGAGTAACAATTCTGTGTCCCTGAGTAACAATTCTGTGTCCCTCAGTAACAATTCTGTGTCTGTCCCTGAGTAACAATTCTGTGTCCCTGAGTAACAATTCTGTGTCCCTCAGTAACAATTCTGTGTCCCTCAGTAACAATTCTGTGTCTGTCCCTGAGTAACAATTCTGTGTCCCTGAGTAACAATTCTGTGTCCCTCAGTAACAATTCTGTGTCCCTCAGTAACAATTCTGTGTCCCTGTCCCTGAGTAACAATTCTGTGTCCCTCAGTAACAATTTCTGTGTCCCTCAGTAACAATTCTGTGTCTGTCCCTCAGTAACAATTCTGTGTCTGTCCCAGTAACAATTCTGTGTCCCTGAGTAACAATTCTGTGTCCCTCAGTAACAATTCTGTGTCCCCTGAGTAACAATTCTGTGTCCCTGAGTAACAATTCTGTGTCCCTGAGTAACAATTCTGTGTCCCTCAGTAACAATTCTGTGTCCCTCAGTAACAATTCTGTGTGTCCCTGAGTAACAATTCTGTGTCCCTCAGTAACAATTCTGTGTCCCTCAGTAACAATTCTGTGTCCCTCAGTAACAATTCTGTGTCTGTCCCTGAGTAACAATTCTGTGTCCCTGAGTAACAATTCTGTGTCCCTCAGTAACAATTCTGTGTCCCTGAGTAACAATTCTGTGTCCCTCAGTAACAATTCTGTGTCCCTCAGTAACAATTCTGTGTCCCTCAGTAACAATTCTGTGTCTGTCCCTGAGTAACAATTCTGTGTCTGTCCCTCAGTAACAATTCTGTGTCTGTGTCCCTCAGTAACAATTCTGTGTCTGTCCCTGAGTAACAATTCTGTGTCCTCAGTAACAATTCTGTGTCCCTCAGTAACAATTCTGTGTCCCTCAGTAACAATTCTGTGTCTGTCCCTGAGTAACAATTCTGTGTCCCTGAGTAACAATTCTGTGTCCCTGAGTAACAATTCTGTGTCTGTCCCTGAGTAACAATTCTGTGTCCCTAAGTAACGGTTCTGTGTCCCTAAGTAACGGTTCTGTGTCCCTAAGTAACGATTCTGTGTCCCTAAGTAACGGTTCTGTGTCCCTAAGTAACGGTTCTGTGTCCCTAAGTAACGATTGTGTGTCCCTAAGTAACGGTTCTGTGTCCCTAAGTAACGGTTCTGTGTCCCTAAGTAACGGTTCTGTGTCCCTAAGTAACGATTCTGTGTCCCTAAGTAACGATTCTGTGTCCCTAATACAGAGAGATCTGTCTCTCTTGAATGACCAGAGGCAAATGGAGAATTGTAAGATGGCCGCAATTTATCGCTCATCTCTATTGGAGAGGATGTGGGACGAAGGGCACAGTGGCACATATATGGTGGGTGTGTCCCAAAATTCAGGAGTATTGGGGAGAAATAATTAATCAAATTCAGGAGTTAATGGGGGGTAAATGTCCCAAAAGAGCCAGGCACATGTTTATTCCATAAAACTGAGACTACAGTAGAAAAATATAAGAACTTGATGGTATTTAATTTCATAAATAAAGGGATTGATACCTAAATTTTGGCAGGAACAGGAAGTACCAAAAATAAATAGGGTTGGCTATGTGTATAAGATAAATAGGGTTGACTATGTGTATAAGATGGAGGAACTCTACCACTTGGAAGAAGATAGAATGGAGAGGTTCAGAGAAAGGTGGGAGAAATGGGATACGTTTAAAAAGCAATTTAAAGAATAAACAAAATAGCTGAAATGGGAAAAATAGAGAATAAACAAGAAAGGAAGAAGGAAAAGGGTGCCTTGAGAGGGAAGAGAAGAGAGGAGGCTCGGGGAGATAAAAGGGGAAAAAAATTAGGGAGTAGAATGGGGAAGAGGGGGAGTGAAGAATGGGAGGGTGGGGTTTTTAGAGGGAAGATTTATAAGGAAATTGTTTATTTTTGAATGTTTTGATACTTTATTGGTGTAAAGTGATACATTGAAAACTAATAATAAAAAAAAATATATATATATATATATGAGAATAGTTATTTTTCTACATGGGGATTATGGGTGTATTATTGTGGATGCACATTGCAAAAACCGTCGTATTTGACCTATTTCTGAAAAGATTATGGGCATAATAATTTTTCTACATGGGGATTATGGGTGGAATATCATGGGTAAACATGTCTAGGAAGACAGATGACTTATTTCTGATAAGAATATGAGAATAGCATTTTTTTACTTGGGAATTATGGGTGGATTATTGTGGATACATATGCCAAGGACCATATTTGACCTATATATAAAATGGTTATGGGTTTAGTTATATTTATATGTGGAGATTATGGAGGAATATCATGGCTAAACATGCATAGGAACATATTTGACTTTTTTCTGATACGAATTTGATAATAGCTATTTTTCTACATGGAGATTATGGGTGGATGATTGTGCATGCACATGCCAAGGAATGTATTTGATCTTTTTCCCATAAGAATATGAGAATAGTTATTTTTCTGCAATTGATTTATGGGTGGAATAATGTGGATACACATGCCTAAAACCATATTTGACTTTTCTGATAAGACTATGAGAATAGCTATTTTTCTACATGGGGATTATGGGTGGAATTTTGTGGATACACATGCCAAGGACCATATGTGACCAGTTTCTGCTAACAATATGCGTATAGTTATTTTTTTTACATGGGGATTATGGATGGAATATCATGGTTAAACATGCCTAGGAATACATTTGTCTCTTTTCTGATAAGAATATGGGTATAGGTATTTTTTACATGGGGCTTATGGGTGGAAAATCATGGTTATACATGCCTAGTAACACATTTGATTTGACCCATTTCTGATAAGAATATGATCATAGTTATTTTTCTACATGAGGGTTATGGGTGGATAATTGTGGATACACATGCCAAGAACCATATTTGACAGGTTTCCCATAACAATATGCGCATAGTTATTTTTCTACTTGGGGAACATTAGTGGAATATCCATGATTAAACATTCCTAGGAACACATGTGACCTGTTTCTGATAAGAATATGAGTATAGTTCCTTTTCTACATGGGGATAATGTGTGGAATATAAAGTTTAAACATGCCTAGCAACACATTTGACTTGTTTATGATAAGAAATATGAGAATAGTTATTTTTTTCTACATGGGGATTATGGGTGAATTTTTTGTGTATACACATGCCATGAACTATATTTGACCTATTTCTGAAAGGATTATGGGTATAGTTATTTTGTTACATGGGTATAATGGGTGCATTATTGTGGATACACATGCCAAGGACTATATTTGACCTATTTCTGGTAAGAACATGCATATAATTATTTTTCCACATGGGGATAATCGGTGCAATATCATGTTTACACATCCCACGTAATTCATTTTACCTTTTTTAGATAGGAATATGGGTAAAATTACTTTTATTTATGGTGATTATGGTGGCAATATCATAGGTACACATCCAGCATAAAAATATGTAACCTGTTTCTTATAGGAATATGTGAATTATTATTATTATACAGGTTTTATATTGCGCCAACAGTTTGCACAGTATTTTACAACATGAGGGCAGGCAGTACAGTTAGAAATACAATTCAGTACAGAAGGAATCAGAGGGCCCTGCTCATTGGAGCTTACAATCGAAAAGGGACAGAAAGGTAAATACAAAAGGTAATAATTGGGGGGGGGGTGCATGAGCTGATGCAGAAAATAAATGTATAGTTGTTAGGTGGAGGAAGAATAGGCTTCTCTAAAAAAAAAAAAAAAAAAAAGTTTTTTCAGGGATCGCCTAAAAGTGGAGTATAAATATTTTTTTTATGTGGGGATTATGGGTAGAGTATCATGGTTACACATCCCATGTAACATATAGTCATGGGCCAAAAATATTGGCACCCCTGCATTTCTGTCAGATAATGTACCACTTCGCCCAGGAAATCATTGCAATTACAAATGTTTAGGCATTCTCATGTTATTTCTTTTGTTTGTATTGGTATGACACAAAAAAGTGAGAAACAAAAAGCCAAGTTTTACACATTCCACGCAAAACCCTAAAAATAGACTGGACAAAATTATTGGTACCTTCTCAAAATTGTAATAAATAATTTGCATGTTTGTGATGCTCCTGTAATTTGTAATTAAACTCGCCTGTATCAATTAACAGGTGCTGACAATATAGCAATCTCACCAGCAACCAGTTTAAAATGGTGTCTGATGGTTTTTGAGAACAAAAATTGTGGAAAAGCATGGACAATCTCAAGGTTACAAGTCCAACTCCAGAGATTTTAATGATCCTGTGTCCTCCCTGGACATGGACAAAAGAGAAAAAGGTATCAAAGATTGAACAAACAATTCTTTGAATGGTGACTAAAGAACTTCGATCAACTTCTAGACAAATTCAAGCTGAGGGTACTATACGTCGCCATCTGAATGAA